GGACAGCTAGTTTATATATCCCTTTCAAAACTGGCGTGCACAATCGTAGACTTAAAATATCATTTAAAACTATATTATAATTTCCGATTGAAAACGATTGTATTCATTTGTTCACTTATAAATATTTAATTCAGTACTACTAATTTGTTTTCAAAAATTTAAGGCAATTTTTTTTCTTTTTATTATACTTTAGACGCATCGTATTTACCAAAGTCATGGGATGTAATAAAATAATTCAGGTCTGAAAGGGTTAAACTAATGGTCACCTACCAGTGGTCGAAATTCGACGCTAATTAATCTAAATATATATAACTCAAAGGTGACTGACATAGTGATCTATCAACGCACAGCCCAAACCACTGGACGGATCGGGCTGAAATTTGACATGCAGGTAGATGTTATGACGTACACATCCGCTAAGAAAGGATTTTGATTAATTCTACACCCAAGCGGATAAAATTGGGGATGACAGTTCGTATGAAACTTTGTCAATTTTAAACCGATCGGGCTGAGACTTTGCTTGCATAAAGCTACTATGACGTAGGCATTCCCTAAGAAAGGATTTTGATAAATTCCACCGCTAAGGGGATACAATAGGGGATGAAAGTTTGTATAAATCTTCTTAGATTTTCGACTGATTGAATTGAAATTAAAGATTAGAGCTACTATGATGAAGACGTTCGCTTAAATAAGATTTTGATAAATTCAACCCCCATGGGGATAAAATAGGGGATGAAAGTTTGTATGAAACTTTGTCAATTTTAAACCGATAGGACTGAGACTTTGCATGCATAAAACTACTATGACGTAGGCATCCCCTAAGAAAGGATTTTGATAAATTCCACCCCTAAGGAGATAAATTAACGCGAGCGAAGAAACTAGTTCAAATGTTAAGTTTGAACAGTATTAGGATTCTATTGGCAAAAGCTACGAGTTAAGATAAGCGATATTTCAGTAATAAGTAGCATGTAGTAATAAATGAATTTATTATTACAATATGTTAGTTACTAGCTGTACTCGCGACTTCGTCCGCGTGGAATTTTTCTAAAATAAAAGTAACTTAAGTTACTCCTTATTTAAAAAAAAGCCCCGTCAAAATCGGTCCAGCAATTTCAGAGATTAGCCGGAACAAACAAACAAAATTGTAAAAAAAAATATTTTGGTGTATTTACCGTATTTATATTCATATGCATGTAGTAAAAAACAATTATTTCAATATTACAAACAGACACTCCAATTTTATATATATATATGGAAGGAAGCTACGGTTGTTTGTCTGTCTAAAACTGGTTCTTCTTCCGTTCGCACGGGGATTTCCGAAAACTAGATAACGGGTGTATGTATGTATGTCTCGAAACGTTATAAATATAGGATATAGTTCTGTTGTACTGTTTTAATAGCTACTTGCCCCGGCTTCGCACAGGTGTACATGTATTATATATATAAACCTTCCTCTAGAATCACTCTATCTATTAAAAATCGCTTCAGAATCCATTGCGTAGTTTTAAAATTTAAGCATACATAGGGACAGACAGCGACAGCGACTTTGTTTTATATGTAATGATGATATGTCATAATTTCGGGTACTGATTAGACTATTTCCTTTCGGCAAAAATGCAATAGCATATATGTTGGTAGTAACTATATTCTTCGTAATTGAATTTAAAAATGAATCTTATTACTTTTTCTTCTTATCTTAAGTATTTTTGTAATCATATACAAGCTTTTTTGAAAAGAATACAAGCTGAGTTTCTTGTCAGTTCTTCTCATGTTAAAATCATTCCGAACTGACGGTAGATTTGACATATCATAATAGTCTGTAATAGACCTACATGAAACAAGTTATTTTGTTTTGATTGTTTACCGATTTCCATCATGTGGGCTTGTTTGCTATTACAATTACCTAAAATAAAAACTGTTCTTCCATACAATCAGTTAGAAACAGTTAACCAAAGACATTCTCTTACTGATATTATAAACACGAAAGTTTGTGAGTATGAATGGATGTTTGTTACTCTTTCACGCAAAAACTACTGAACGGATTTTAATGAAACTTTACAATGATATAGCTTATACATCAGAATAACACATAGGCTATAAATTTGACGCGTCAGATAGATATCAAGTAAGTGTGTTGCAGACGAAGTTACGCGGATCAGCTAGTCAATAATATAATAATTGTTTTTGTTAACACAATGACAAACACACGCGCACTTTTCACTTAGTATATACCAATCCATTGTAGCAGGAAACGAGATCTCGCCGTTTCTTTGATTAGTATAGTTTGTTATCGGTATTTCCATAACCGGAGAGTTAATTAGAAATATAAAATCACGAATTTTTTTGCTATCGGTCGAATTTGATGCACTGCCTTTTGATGTCGGTATAGCACAATTAGGCGACGACGCTCCGCAATGACAAACTAAATGAATCCGGATAATGGCGGATTTTATTCCTGAACAATGCTCGGATATCTTAATAACCGGATTCTTATGTATCCTTTATAGCACAATTAGGCGACGACGCTCCGCAATGACAAACTAAATGAATCCGGATAATGGCGGATTTTATTCCTGAACAATGCTCGGATATCTTAATAACCGGATTCTTATGTATCCTTTATAGCACAATTAGGCGACGACTCTCCGCAATGACAAACTAAATGAATCCGGATAATGGCGGATTTTATTCCTGAACAATGCTCGGATATCTTAATAACCAGATTCTTATGTATCCCTAATAAATACACCATTTAGGTATATCCTTCCCCAAAATATCCTAAAATTCCTATCCCTGTATCCTTACTTCTCCTGAAGAACTGCAGAAACTTCGAAGATGACAACACTAAGTCTACTATCACTTGATAACACCGTAAACAATCTAATGAAAAATTCTGAGAAGGGGATTGTTAATACTTATTTATTATAGCTTTGCATTCAATAATTTTACAATAAACAGACAGATAGGTATATTTTAAAGTATGTTAATTATGGACCCTGTTGGGCAGCCAGCGGGAGAGAAGAGAGTCCGAGTTATTATTTATATAATTATAATATTCGATATATAGTATAAGTAAGGAGCCAACAGAGTATCAGCGCTGCAGAGTTATCTGTAGCATTATGCTGAGTTGGCTACCTTTTCACTTTTGCGGCACATAAAGTCACCTACATTTCTTTTATTAATTCGTGTTTTTCTGTATCTCATGTACCTATGTTATGTGTCTGTAATTGTGAATAAAGAATTTATCTATCTATCTATCTATATATAATAATAATAATAGTAATAATTAATTAATTGGAACTGTATATATTTAATTATTAAAATTGTGTAATAATATTTTTTAATCAATAGTTTCTTGAGATTTCTCTCTCTTTTAAGACTTTAAGACTCTTTTAAAGATAGTGGTATGTGATTATATACATATATAGCTTTCCCGGCAAACTTGTTTTGCCATATAAATTAATAACGCTGTAAAAAAATAGGGGTTGATGATAGAAGGGTGAAAATTTAGGATTGCATGTATTTTTGTATGTTGTATCATAAAAAAATTGAAACTAACAATTTTGCCTAAAAAATAAAAAATAAATTTAGGGGTGGACTACCCCTAACATTTAGGGGGATGAAAAATAGATGTTGGCCGATTCTCAGACCTACTCAATACGCTCACAAAATGTCATGAGAATCGGTCAAGCCGTTTCGGAGGAGTACGGGAACGAAAACTGTGACACGAGAATTTTATATATAAGATTTTTTAATCAATAGTGTCTTGAGATTTCGTATAAATATTTTATCATATTTTTCCTCTTTTAAAGACAGTGGTAAGTGATTATATACATATTTTTTTTTTATCTCAGGACAATTCACACAGCGCCATCTACACCCAAGTTAAGCTAGCTAAAGCTTGTGTTATGAGTACTAGATAACTGATACAAATACATAGATTTTTTTTTTTTTCGTAAATACATACATATTATACATAGAATACAACCAGACCGATACAAACAATCATACTCATGAATACTCATGAATATAAATGTTTGTGCCGTGCGAGGAATCGAACCCGCGACCATCGGACGTAAAGCGGCGTACTAAACCACTAGACCACCGAGGTCGTCAAATATTTAGTAAGTAAATCTAATAATTGCTAGCAATGCCAGGTATACTTCACGTGGTTCCTACAGGAAAGTGTCGTGACAATTTCCTGGTGTTTCTGCCACGACGGGCGAAGTGACTCGATCTCATGCTCATCTTATCTCTACTGGTGCCCTGCTATCATATACTGTTAGCGCAGGCGGGAGCACTATTCAGTAAAATAAACTATATTACTGTAAAATTTCATCTTTATTGTAACATACCTTATTATGTCAAAGGCTATAAATTCCTCGCGAGTGAAACCGCGGAACTACTAGTAATATATATACAATGTCCCAGTAACTAGCTAGTCGCCCCGGCTTCACCCGGGTGTACATGTATTATACATATAATCTTCTTGAATCGATTTATCTATATAAAAAAACCGCTTCAAAATCCGTTGCGTATTTTTAAAGATTTAAGATTATATAGGGACAGACATCGACAGCGACTTTGTTTTTTACTATGTAATGATGATGTATACATTTTTTTCTAACAATACTTTGTACATAGTGTCCCTCGGTCAGACGGTTATGTTGAGATTCTGGCAATGCACCGCTATATAAACCCCAATTTAATTAAATTTCCTGAATTCGCGTTATTTTGATTGCTTTTAAATCTGTTACTTTATAATGCAACAGCGTAATTCAGCATTACGGATATCACTAATTGTTTATTAATATTATTATAACTCTGATTGCATTTTCCGTTAAAAAGAAATTATTAAATTGCCATCCGTGTGTGAATCATTAATGATTCGCTTTACAGCGATGCAGCGCCGCCGAGGTCACATAATAAGCTTGTTTCATAAACGTACCTTAAGTATATAAGCGACAACATAGTACTACAGATGTTTGTTCTTGCGACCCGAACGCGCGACGCGTAACGTTTTTAAAAAACATTAAATAAAAAAAAAAACGTTGAGTGACGTCACCGAAGTTTTAAATATCGAAGAGACATCGTGAAACGTTTCAGTGTGTTGTGCTTGTCATTGTGGAGTGGTAGCCGTGACGTTTTATGTGAGTTTTTTTTTAATATTGAATTATAATTTTTATTTTGAAAATCGAATGTGAGTGTTCTCAGGTTTTTATTTTTTTTATAGTGTCCAGGTGGAGATGTTTATAGGTATATTGAGAATGAATTCTTGGACAAGTTATATTTTTAATTTAATAATAAAAAAAAAACATTTATTAAATTTTTTAAATATTTTTTCTTTAATTATAAATTCACTATATTACAAAGTTACAAATTTTCTCTCACCGCGAGTCAGTTGATGTCTTTTACACGTACATTTCGGGCACTATGGTAATTGTAATAAAAAATATTTTACACATAGTAAAACAAATAAAAATTTTTGTCAAGCATAACGTTTTAATATATTACAATTTTATTCATATAATAATTATTTTACATAGAATAAACCAATTAATGTTAATTATTTAATTTCGAATCTATCCCGAAACATTTTCCAGCTGATAAAAAAAATAATTTAGAAATATAACATAATTTTAAAATTGTTCCCTATAAACTGTTTTAAATATGACGCGCTTATTTATACTTTAAAGCATATTATTAACAATTATCGGGAACTCAGTAAAAATAAATAAATCTTGGTAAGATCCCATAATTTTTCCTTATTCCATATAATTTTTATATTTATATTATAACTCATTTATCCGCATTCAAGTATGTCTGCACATCCCAAAGGTTGACTGGGAGAGAATGCTATAATATTAAGTCCACATTTTGTACCAATTTTAGTGGTCAAGCAAATAAAAAAAATATATTTTTTTTAAATAATTTAGTCTATAATGATTAATTATTTCCTTAATTAATTTAACATTTCGAATAAATATGATACTGATATCAATTACAATTTGATTAATATTTATATTTCTTTACTTATTTATTGAAAACCCCAAATGTGTAAAATACAAATTATTATTATGTTTCTTTTAATGCCATGATGAAATCAAAATCCTTTGAATATTTAATTAATAAATATTTTTATACTAATATAATAATATCAATATTTAAATCACAAATATTGTAAATTATTATATATCTAGTTATAATAACTTCAAGCCAGGTATTCCGCGGGATGAGCAGAACTTTCTAACATATTTCTACCCTTAAATACAAGGCATCTTTTATAAATTAATCCGATTAATATAATGACAATATTTAAATTACAAATATTGTAAATTATTATATTATAGTATAATAACTTCAAGCCAAGTCTTCCGCGGGATGAGCAGAATTGTCTAACAGATTTCTACCCTTAAATGCAACTCATATATTAATCACTTAATAAATTAATCCGATTAATATAATGCCAATATTTAAATCACAAATATTGTAAATTATTATAATCGTATCTATGTATAATAACTTCAACCCAAGTCTTTCGCGGGATGAGCAGAATTGTCTAATACATTTTTACCCTTAAATAAAACTCATCTTTTATTCACTTAACTATCATACACCCAGTACTTGTGTGTGTATATTGGTTTAAGTGCTATTTAATTTAATACAAATTAAAAAGACTCCTTATATATAAAGAGCCTTTTTAATATATAGGTTGTACTATAGATATAAATCAAATAATAGACAAAATATTTTCTATATTTATAACCGTATAACCGGTTTGGATGTTTTCTATGTATAATATGTATTTATATTTATTTAAAAAAAAATGCTCTGCTTTGCTTGGGACTTAGATGGCGCGATGATATGTGAATTGTACTAAGATATTATTATTCTATAATAATAATCAGCATATAACATGGGGTTTTCCAAAAAGGATATCAAGGTTGGGGGTTGGGCATGCGCACGTGACTTCCTGGTATTTCAGGCGGCAAAAGGCTGCGGTAACACTTTTCCATCCGATGTGCCGTATGCTTGATTGCCACGATTGTGGTGAAAAAAATCAAATTCAAAATTATTCATGTTGGTCTATTACAGACTCTTATAATATGTCAAATCTACCGTCAGTTCGAAGTGATTTCGAGACGAGATGAACTGACAAGCAACTCGGCTCGTAATCAAAACTTCTTCACATTTATATTCTTCTCAACGTTATATAATATAACAATTTGTTTAACAACCTCGATATTAAAAAATATCCTTGCAAACCTACAAAATAGGCAACTAATATTTATTATAAATAGTGAGAATAATAAAACAATTCGATAGTTGCAACCTCCAAGATAAACTAGATCCATACACAGAATCTATAAGGTGAATTAGGAACGCCCACAGAAATTATGAATTTTATTTAAAAATATTGTTTTTTAATTGATTATAGTACTATGCACAAATAAATCTGCAGATTTTGCCAAACTGAAGAGGAAACGCCACTGCACATCCCATGTGGTTGTAGCCTACTCATGTATAAACGAAATATCTCCTTTGGAAAGTTTACACTCTATCGTGAGAAGATAAAAACCATCGCTTCTAAGAATATCCTTCAATTCTTGTCTCTGAGAGGTGTAGGTAGCGAACTCTGAAAAAGGGCGAGCACAATAGATCTATGTAGGTCGCAGTATTACAGGTCCAAGCACCTGAAAATAGCCCAAACAACACAATAAAAAAAAAAGTGTTATGAGACTACCGCCGGTATGAGGCAACGGTATACGCTGGCAGGGCACCAGTGGAGGATGACATCAGTCCATCGTTGCAAATTCATGAGGAATTTAACATAATGGAGGTCAATCTGACTTGGTATATTGCTAGCAATGGCTTAATTCAATATAAATACTGACAATCATAACCCAATCATAAACAGTAACAATCTTTTGATCAGATTGAGATCGAGAGATCAACACTCAAAAACTTTAAAAGTCCATAACTCAAAATATATACGACTAGCTTTTGCCCACGGCTTCGCTCGCGTTTATTTATCCTTTTAAGGGTGGAATTCATCAAAATCCTTGCTTAGGGGACGCCTACGTCATAGTAGCTTTATGCATGCAAAATCTCAGCCCGATCGGTTTAAATTTGACAAAGTTTCATACCAACTTTCATCCCCTATTTTACCTCCTTGTGGGTAGAATTAATTTAAATCCTTTCTTAGCGGATGCCTATGTCATAATATTTACCTGTATGCCAAATTTCAGCCCGATCTGTGAAGTGGTTTGGGCTGTGCGTTGATAGATCACTATGTCAGTCAGTAACCTTTGAGTTATATATTTTTAGATTTAATCTCAACACTATACACTTATATTCTTGTATATTAACTGTTTTAAATATCATTGGCGTCACTGACAGGAGGTCGTCCTCTACTTCACTTGTGTACATTCCGATCTACCCTCCATCCAATTCAAACAGGGATCACGACGGCCTGAGCCGAGGTTTAAAATGGTATCCATCATGTGAGAGTAGGCCTTCATAAGTCCTTCCGCGTTTGGAGTGGCATCTACACTCGCCGCCTATCGTCCGGTGAAGCTGTAAAGGCCAGCTGCGGCCAACAGCATTAGAGTAGTCGTAACTTGTGTACAGGATCGCACCAAAACAAGTAGTTTCATTAATAAAGTATAAATATTACACCGGCTTATGTAATACCGGAGAAAAACCACAAGTCAAGTATTGAAACTTATTTTTTTACAATTCTATTGTTAAACATCTATAAATTTCAATTTATGTTTCCATTAATTGTGTAATTCTTAATGTTATTGGCATAAAGGCGATTATTGTTCATCGGCCAATATTACGTCATCCCGGATCTCGGTACGAAATATGCAGATGTGGTTTTATCTTCTGGGATTAAGAGACCAATGAGAAACTGCAAATAAATAACATAAATATATGTGCCTAACTATACCAAGTAACTCTGTGTTAATAGGCCAGTGGTTCCCAAATAGTTTTTGCTGTGTACCCTCAAACCTTGGCTTCGCCTCGGTGAAAGTACATAGCCGCACGTATACATATAAACCTTCCTCTTTATAAGAAATTCATTAATAAGATTTTTTTTTAAATTGAAATGATAATGAACTTGTACACCCACCTGCGATAACAGTTGACTGTATCAGTTATAAGATGAGCATGAGGTCCGCCCATTGTGTCAGATTCACAACGAACTTATCACGATGGTTTCCAGCGCGTCGAATTTACATTGCTAGTAAAGATTTCACTAGTCTACATTACTAACTATTCCTTCCCCCAATCATGTTTTTTGTCAAATTTCTTTTAAATTTTTGTCTTAACTTATCTACCCACCCATTTACACGGAAATATATTATATATATAAACGAATCACTCTATCTATTAAAAATATTCCACTAGATAGAGTGATTCAAGAGGAAGCTTCTTCTGCGTACTTAATAGTGATTCTTTGTAATAATGTTATTATATAGATCATTTTTTATTATAATACACTAGTGACTTTGTTTATATATATAAACCTTCCTCTTGAATCACTCTATCTATTCAAAAAAACCGCTTCAAAATCCGTTGCGTAGTTTTAAAGATTTAAGCATACATAGTAATGATTGTAACTTCCTCCCGGCTTCGAAGGTACATGCCTTGACATAAAACCTTCCTCTTGAATCACCTATATTAAAAAAACCGCTTCAAAATCCGTTGCGTAGTTTTAAAGATTTAAGTATACATAGGGACAAACAGTGGTAGTGACTTTGTTTTATACTATGTTTGAATTCCTGAAGGTACCTATATATACATAATGTTTATTATAACAACTTAAATTGTTTATTATAACGCAAGACATGTAAACAGTAAATAAACAAATTATGCAGGAATTCACATAAAATATTTAAGTGCTATATGATGTGTAACATGATCATATTAAAACAAATCATAACAATATTATGATAAACAGATTTTTTTAACGTGTGGAAAATCTTCAAAAGACCGTCACCCCGCCGGAGGGAGGGCGGAATGGTGTGTGAGATTTGTACTCACCAAAAACCACACGGTGTACCTACGAGCGCCTATGCCGGAGCCAGGGGATACACATGTGCATTTCCACCCCAGCTCAGACGGCGACAGCCCGCCCTGTAGA